GTTCTAAGCTTATGACAATTACAAAGAATCAAAGCTCGCCGCGATACCTAGTTATCTAGAACAAGGCGGAATAATAACCAGACGGGCAATTACTAAAGGAAACATATTTCTATTCTCAAATACGACCAATTTAAAAGAAACCGTAAAGGAAAAAGAGAAAATTTCAAAGATCGTGTCAGAATAGGAGTATTTTTTATTTATATTTAATTCGTTTATCTGAGTCTCGCTTGGCCGTAGGTTTAGTATACTTATTAGGGCTTATTGTTGCCATCCATCCCGATATATCGAGACTGTCACTGATTGACTTTCATGTCTCGATGTCCCGACTAGATTGCATAAAATCCCCAGTAAACTACAAATAATCGGCATTCGCTCGGCCTGTACTCGGATTGGCGTTGTCGGGGTTGCTTCTGAGCCGAGAGGACTGTACCATTTGACGTAATTTAGAAGTAGAAACCGCATGTGGTCCATATTTGGCTTTCCAGACATGGCAGGCATCCTTAAGGGCCGAACGCGGTGAATATATGGCTAGCCGGGCATGGGAGTCATCCTTACGGGCTGAACTATATATAGATATATAAACGCGGCTACAATGTAGTGGCCTGCCGACATGTGTAAACTCCTCCAAAGAAACCTGGTCTATAATAAATGACTTAAGGAATAAAACCCGTTCTTCAAACAGTGTAAATCCTAGCCCAGATGAACTAAACAATTATTTCGTAAATGTAAGTAAAAATATCAAATCTAACATAGCTCCGAGTCAGGATGCTCTCTCCTTCCTCCTACCTACTAAAAGGATCACTGAAAGTTTCTTCCTAAGACCAGTAGACAAGCATGAACTAGTGCAAACCATAAACAACATCCAAAATAAATTTTCCTGTGGAATTGATGGCCTGTCCACCAAAATATTTCTAAATATACCGGATGTAGTAATCAACATTTTAACTTCACTGATTAATGAATCCTTTGAAATTGGTCTCTTTCCTAACTGTCTAAAAACAGCTATAATAATCCCACTTCATAAAGGTGGCGACAAAACCAAAACCTGTAACTATAGACCTATCGCGTTATTGCCTACCTTATCGAAGATAGTAGAACGGCTAATGAAAAACCGTCTTTTGCCATTTCTTTTCAAGCATAACATCCTCACAGCTCATCAGTATGGCTTTCTACCTAAAAAATGCACTAGCGACGCAATGTTTTCCGTTCTTAATGAAATATACACATCACTTAATGATAAACTTTTCACCGCTTCAGTATTTTGTGACTTCGCAAAGGCCTTCGATTGTGTAAATCATGATATTTTAATTAATAAGTTACAAATTTATGGCATACGGGGTTCTCCTTTACAATGGTTTAAAACTTACCTAGAAAATAGAAATCAACAGGTGCGGGCGAATGGTGAGGATTCTACAAATCTAGCAATAAGCAGTGGAGTACCTCAAGGATCAGTATTAGGTCCAATTTTGTTTTTATTATTCATCAACGACATCACAGACTTAAGAATAAGTGGTAGAATTACTTTATTTGCTGATGACACCAGTGTAACCTGGAATAATTCTAACATGCAGACATTACAATCTATCATAAGTGAAGATCTAGTGACTATTAAGTCCTGGTCTGATTCGAATGGACTTTGTTTCAACACTAGTAAAACTGTAGCATTGTCTTACAGAGGTACTTTACAACCTATAACTTTAAACAATAATCTGATCCAAACGGTGACTTCAATCAAGTTTTTAGGTCTTTATATAGACGATTCTCTAAAATGGTCTGCTCATATAGATACCTTAGCAAAAAAATTATCCTCCGCATGTTTTGCCATTAAATCGGTTTCTAAAGAGCTGACTCCTTCTACTGCATTAATAACCTACTTTTCCTTATTCGAATCTCACCTTCGCCATGGTTTACCTTTCTGGGGTTCTTGTAGCTTATACCTTTTCGAATCTGTTTTTAAACTGCAAAAAAGAGCAATCCGCTATGTATTTGGTTTAAGTAGTAGGACACATTGCGAAAATTACTTCAAAAATTTCAAAATTCTAACCCTTCCTGCTCTATTTATTTTCGAATCCGTCTGCTTAGTTCGCAAGCACATTCAAAATTTATCCGAAAGACCGACTCGTAGATATCCTACAAGAAATTTAGAGACTGATGTTTATTTAACAATGCCCACTTCTGACCTATTAAAACATTCCATTACCTACAATGCCAAAAAATTGTATAATAACCTTCCGATGCAATTAAAATCTATAAATACATACGATAAGTTCCGAAGACTGGCTAAAGCTTTTCTTCTAGAAAGACCATATTACACAGTAGCAGAATTTTATAACGTACCTTAGACATTTGAGTTCCACATACAATGGCATTAATTAAATAATTAAATATTAAAGTTTAAATTTAAATTTAAAAATTAAATTAGAATAATTATAATGACGGATATTGCATATCCATTGCAATTGTTATTCCTATTTTGTCTGTTTGTTTCTGTTTGTTTTTTCTGCTGTTTAGTTATTTTTATAATATGTTTAGTATTTAAGTTACACGCTTTGTCTATAAAATTTTTGTAAATTTTTTTACGACAATAAAGCATATCTCTCTCTCAGTACAAATTTAAACACTGAAAATCCAAAAATGCTACTGAAATAAATTTAAACTCAGCTGCTGTATTGGCTACTCTATCAACTGGATGTGAGCATACACAAATGGTCAAGCAGTATGCCATAATGAATATACTACAAATATCTTTTCGACAATACTAAGCTCATAATGAGTTGGTAAGTAAAAGTATTTTTGAAGCAGCCTAAAAGGCCATAAAACAAGCAGGACTAGAAGAATTGCAATTAGCAAAATAATAGTAATAATAATAATAATATAACTTTATTCATGTAGGTATACAAATACAATATAATATAAATAATTTTAGAAACAATTAAACATTATTTACAAGAATAAAGTAAGAAGCAATAAGTACGTGAGTACTTGTTTCGCTGTACACAATATACACTATTATCTAATTATCCTAATTACATGAATTAATTATTCTAATTACGGTAAAAAAAAAAAAAATATATATATATATAAATAATTATATTTATTTAATAATAGAAGAAAATAGATAATGTTAATGTTATATCCAAGTAAGTATGTCTAATCTGGCTAGTTTTGTCAAGTCATGTAAGTATGTATAATCCGGGTAAGTGTTTCTTATTTTGGAAATAGCAAAATTCTAATTTTTTTTAATAACATTTCATAAGTTTTTTTTTTTTTTTTTGTTAATAGATTTTGGAATTTAGGTAAAACTTATCCTAAAATATTAGATATGAATTGTCTGTGGTTTTCCATTATAAACAACTTCAGCTTTGTTTTAAACAAATTTTTATTATTTATTCTTTTTAGTGTTTCAGGCAAAGTATTGTAACATTTTAAAGCGACATAAGAGTATGCTCGTTGAGAAATTGATTTTTTAACTATTATTGGGTAAGTGTGAAGATTGTAATTTCTAGTGAAGTGGTGGTGTTCGCGATTGGTAGTTTTTTTATTTCCAAAATGGTATTTAACATTGGTAGTAAAAAAGAGAAGTTGTTTGACATCAAATACTTTACTTTCTGCGAATAGATTTTCGGTTGGATATCTATAGAGTTTGCCCATTATTAATTTTAGAAATCTTTTTTGGATTATTTCTAACGGTGTTAAGTGAACCTTTAGAGCAGAACCCCAAGCTGTTATTGCATATCTCAGGTGACTTTCAACAAGTGCTGAATATAGTTTTTTTAACTCATGCTGCGGTAGGCATTTACTAAGCTGTTTAAATTTATGTAAAATTGACTGTAACTTTTTAACAATGTAGTTTATCTGGATATCCCATTTTAAATGTGTATCGATATGCACTCCCAAGTATTTCAT